CTTTTCCAGAGCAAAAAAAAATAGAGAATAAAAGCACCGAGGGCTCAAGAACCTGTTCTCCACAGGTACGGTCCTGCACTGTGAGTGGCTGTCGAGGCAGGTAAAGGAATTCACTTGACTCCCTGGGAGAAACACTTGCTTTTGATGCAGTGTGATATTTATGTATTTAATGCCGTGGTTTGTATAACAACAGCCTCAGCAAGCGATTTCCTAGAAGTCGGGGCTGGTGTCCTATCCATCACGGAGGGCAGGCGTCCCGCTGCAGGCAGGGCTGGGCCGGAGGGGGATGCTGGCAGTCCCTGCACATCACTCACTGCCTACTTGCCTTTGTTGTTTTTTTTTTTTTCCACAATTTTTAAAAATACCTGGTGGGGCCTGTGTGCCTTCCTCTGGAAAGCACCTTTCTGCACCACCCAGAGCTGGTGGGACGAGGCTGGGAAGGGGAGTGAGGGGCACCCCAGGGTGTGTGTCACCCAAAAGCCCTGCCTGGTGTCACCCTAAGATCTTAAAAACACCATTCCCTTTCCCAGGGCCATGCTTTGTGGGCTGCAAAAGCGTCCGAGTCCATGGGGCTCTGCGCCGGGGAGACGTCCTTGGGAAAATAAAACCCTGCTCTGAGCAGCCCAGGTGGGACAAGCCCCGATGGGGGAGCAAAAACCATCATCAGTCATTCCTGAAAGCGCTCGTGGAGGCTTTTTGTCCTCTTTGGCTTTACTTCTATTCTAAATATTTTGCTTTTCACTCTGTGCCTGTGTTATTTTTATTGGGCAAGTGGTCTGGCTGGCTTTACTCAAATGCCCCTCGTGGCGGGCAGCCCCCGAGCAGAGGGTGGCTTGTTGGGGGGCAGAACGGGCCACGAAACGGGGCAGTTTGGTTTCCTCCCTCCCTCTGCCCCCTTTCCCCGCAGAGAGAACAGGACCCAGGAGGACTATACCCGGAGAGGGCACCAAGCAGGAGCCATCGTTACCCGTGACGACCCTTCCATGAAGTTTTAAGCTGAATCCAGGGTTGGTCTCTGCTGCTCCAGCACCGGAGCAGGATGAGACCTTCGGAAGGACCCCCAGCTTTGGGGGGAGCCCGAAATGCAGCCCTGGGGGGTATCGCAGCCCCGTGCCCTCCTTCCCCAGCAGCATCCGCCGCCGCTCTTACGCACTCGTCCCACCTTATTTCATCTTATTTTGCTGGGGCCCTGTTGTTGTTGGCGTCCCAACTGGAGTGACTTTGAGGAAAGAGGGGTTGGTTTTTTTTCTATTTCCTCCAAACTTGAATGGCTCCTTTGAAAGGCAGCGCCTCTGCGCTCCTGCCCCGCCGCCCGCACTGAACCAATCTTGCGGTCAGCTTCGGGAGGAGGGAGGAAAAAAAGGAAGAAAAAAGGGTCACAAAGAGGGAAAATTGACAGGTCCGAGCACGGGTGTGATGGATGGTGGTTGGAGAAGCGGGACTTGGTGTTGGGCTGTGCTGGGGAGATGCCAGCGCTCGCTGGGGAAATCCAGCAAAGCCTTAGTTTTCCCCCAGACCCCAGCACGGAGGGGCTTGGTGAGGGGCAGCCCTAGAACTCAGTGACAGCAGAATTGTTGGGACGTACATCAATCAGGAGTTATGATTAATGAGAGGTGTCTGCCCCTCTCCCTCTCTGGGTGGGCAGGAGGGACTGAGGTGGGTCCGTGTCACGGTGCCGGCCGGAGGGGGCACCCAGCCCCAGGAAAACTGGGTCCTTCCCCCCCCAAGCAATGGTCGAGCAACCTGCTGTGGGCAAAGGGTGGGCTTCAGCCAGAGGAACGGGAAGGAAAATGGGAAAAAGTCATGCATCCAGAGTCACAAACCTGCTGGTGGGACGTCATGCCAGGCAGAGGGACGGGGGCACTGGGGTCTCGATGCTCTGGAGCATTTTTTCTGGGTACCCTTGATTTCAGGGGTGTGGGGATGACACCACCCCAGTGCACCAAACCCCATCCCTCCCCTTTTGGTCCCCAACCTGGCAGAGGGGTGCAGGGTGCGGGGGGAGCATCCATCCAGCTCCTCACCTTTCTCTCCCAAACCCACCACCCCGCTCTTCTCCAGCCCAAGGATCCTCAGCTCCCACCCCAGCCCGGCCCCCACGACTTTCTCCTGTGACCCCACATCACCCCCCCATTTTGGACAGCTCTCCCCGAGCCCCAGTTCTCCCACCAGCTCCCAGTTGATGCCCCGAGGAGCCAGTGGAGCAGCTCCCCAGCCCACCAGGACCCCGCAGCCACCGGGCATTGCTCCGGGTTGGAGGCAATGAGGAGAAGCTCCAAGATTTATCCGTGTTCCTGGGCTCCTCGTGGAAAGATCTCAGTGGGACAGTGCTTTTCACCCCCCTCCCCTGCTACGGAGCCCCAGGGGGCTGTGAGTGTAATTCAGAGGCGTCTGGAAAAGGTAACTAGAAATAGGAAGTTAATTGTCGAGAGCCTTAATTAGTTATAGAGCGGTCTGCACTGTCACTGGCAAATTTTTAAGACTCTGCAAACTAAACCCCTGAAAGAAAGGATTCTTGTGAGAGGGGACCTGGGTTGGGATCTCCCCGGTGCCCTGGACACCTCTGGTGGCCCCACGTCTGCTGCTGGTGGGAGGTGACTGGTCACTGCCCCGAGACCACCCCCCACTGCGGTACCACCCCCCCCGCTCTCCCCACACTTTGAAATGTGGTCACCACAATTCTCACAACATCTAAAGGTGCGTGTGTAGCCCGTGCTGGGCCCTCGGGTCTGGGTGAGGCTCCAGTCCCACCAGCACCCCCAGTTTGCACGTGGGGCCAGCAGAGACACGGAGCTGCCTCTGCAGGGACAGGGGGGTCCCGCTCTGCCCCACACGGGTGTGCACCCCCGGGCAGGGGGTCCTTGTGTGGCACTGGGACAGGACACTGGGTGCCAAGGCCAGGCTGGGCGAGGGGCACCAGGAGCAGGTTTGGGGGCTGAGCTCTGCCATGCCAAGTTGTGCCAGCAGTGCCACACCATGCCAGCCGAGTTATGGCATGCTGTGCCATGCCAGCCGAGCTGTGCCATGTCATGCCATGTTGTGCCAGCCATGCCTCACCATGCCTGCTGAGCTGTGCCATGCCATGCTCTGCCAGCCAAGCCGTGCCATGCTCTGCCATGCCATGCCATCCATCCAAACTGTGCCATGCCATGTTCTGCCATGCCATGTCATGCCAGCTGAGCCATGCCATGCCACCCAAGCTGTGCCATGACACGCTCCGCCAATTGAGCCGTGCCACGTTGTGCCAGCCATGCCATTTCAGCTGAGCTGTGCCATGCCATCCCATGCCATGCTGTGCCATGCCATGCCAGCTGAGCTATGCCATGCGTGCCAGCCGAGCCATGCTGTGCCATGCCAGCTGAGCTGTGCCATGCCATGCCATGCCATGCTATGCTGTGCCATGCCATGTTCTGCTAGCTGAGCCATGCTGTGCCATGCCATGCCAGGTGAGCTGTGCCATGCCATGCTATGCTGTGCCAGCTGAGCCATGCCATGTCATGCCATGCTATGCTGTGCCATGCCATGCTCTCCCAGCCGAGCCGTGCCGTGGC